GGATCAGATGATCTGAAGGACCACCTGCACCCATATCAATTGGTCTCTAACACTGACAAGCCCTGGGGACCAGGTCATTTTGGTGGTGACCTCATATCACAGAGATTCTCTCTTGAACCTTGCATTGTTTCAGTCATGCTTGCAAGCTGCCCTAAAAGATGGCACAGGAATGCCTTTAGTTAATAAATAAAGCAAGTCTGAGGTCATCACAAACGATGCCCTTCCTTTGCTCAGAAAACGTCTTAGTCCTTCAGACTTGCTCTTTAATGGCTAGTCTAAGATTCCACTTTTCTTAACACTCACACACAAACACATGAAGAACAGAATCAGCTCCCGTGGTTAATTACATAGGCACGCACAAGAATGTCACAGGCTTTTTGTGGTTGAATGCATTCTATTATATTGCATCCTTGGCCTTGGATGCACAGGTTTGAGATGGGAGATTTCTTCTACTTGCCTCTTCAAAAAAACCCACAAAAAACCTGTCCTTGAATTCATGGTGCTAGAATGTTGTGTTTTTGGTCTTTGCTCATAACCCCTAATCAAAGATGCAAAGCTTCAAAAAAGGGTTAGGAGATATGGTAGAGATCGTGATAAAGCTGCTCTTTGATTTTTACCCTTACAGAAATACCAGTGTTTGTATTTCATGTTTCAAAAGCTACACAATTTGAGACTGACATGATATTTGATTTTCTGAGTGATTAGGAAGCACACATGCACACACACCGCCCTACCCTTTTTTCATTCTTAAAAGAAGGAAATTGCTTTATTCTTGAGATATTTTGTTATCACTGTTGCCACAGTTCACAATGTGCTTTGAATTAAAGAACTACATTTAATTAGAAATCTACATAACAGCTTTGCTCTTTGAAAGTATGCAAAAGCTTTGAAGAAAAGGCTAATGCGCCTAAAAGGCAAATCAAAAGGCAGTGCAGGCCCAGGTTTATTTCGATGAGATTTCTGTGGTTGTGATGCATGTTTCTTAAGGACAGGAGATATTAAGAATAAACAAATAATAGTAATCTATGAGGAAAATTTAATCTTGGCACCAGCCATAGTAAAATATAAGTTCACCACTATTTTGCCTTTTCTTTTTTGCAGATTCAACATCCACGTAAAACAAAGGGCTCACAGATTCTCATAGGCTGATGGCCCAAACCTGATGCCACCATCTCTACTTTTTACTAGCTGCTAAACCGGGGAGGGGAACCATAAGTCCAGGGTCCAAATATAGCCCTCCAAGCCTCTACATCCACCCTGGCCACACTTCCTTCAAAGACCACACTGGTTCTCCCCAAGCTACGCTCCCCACCAGAATTGTTCTGCACCCTCCCTGAGCGCTTTTGCCTTGGCTGGGTTGTTTTCTCCAGCTGTGATAATGCCTCTTGCTTGCTTGGATGAAGGATGGAAAGATGCGTTTGCAAGACTTCTGACTTCCGAGTGGCTGAAATGTAGCCTACTGAATGAATTGTAAGAACCAGATCCACCACTCTACTCACTTTTGCTCCTGGGCTACCTACAACACCCCCCCCAAGTTTGCCCACAGTAGAATGTGGTTCCCCTCCCAGGTGCGAAGCCATTTGTCCTTCTACCACCATAAAGAAGAATGTGGATGTCAAGAGTGGAATTGGGGGGTTGGGTCTTAATGTTAAGGGAAGGCACTCAGACTGTTTGCAAAGGAAAATAGAAGCAGAGGCAGAAAGGATCGGCCTTAAATTCTGATTAGTTGCATGACTTTGCCATTCTGTGTCAGCTCAAAGGAGTTCTAATATAAATATTTATATATATATATATCACATAGATTTTCACCTTTTCTAACCCTCTGGTCTAAACACACTTTCAAGCCCCAGGAGGCAGATTAACTGCAGTCCCTTTCCCTCTCTGTCAGAGGAAGCCCACTCTCTGCTATTGCTTTGGATCCATCTGGATTCACTCTTTTGAAGGGAGGACTAGATGACAGTGGTAGGTAAAGGAGAAAAAGCAAAGGGTGATTGCTTTAAAAAATAAATTCTACATGAAAAAGATCCAGAAAACCTTTTGGCAATTCCATACTGTGGAGCAGCTGTTCCCACCCCAGCATCTCAGGAAAGCCCACTGGTGCTGACCAGCTCCTGCTGAGGACCAAGAGCCTCCAGAAAGGTTAGGTTCCTCTGTGTGTTTGTTTGGAGGGCAGGTGGCATAAGGTAGCTTCTGCTCCCCTGCCCACAAAAGTGAGCAAGTGAGTGGTGGTTGCAGCTGCCTCCCATCACTTATCATGTCACACCTTACTTCTAGAGGTGCGATGGAAAGGACTGGGGCTGCCCTGCTATGCCCCGGGATTTCAGGTGAGAATGTAAGCTAGAGGAAGTAGCTGCTTCTGCCTCTGCCTTATCCCTATAGGCAGTGCAGTTGGGCCATGTGTCAATTTATCCATCAACAGGGCACCTAAAGAGAGTGAAGGTGTGGAAGCGAGAAGCAAGCCCTCACCTATGCTTTCTGCCCTCAGTGCAGCTCTGAGGGCTGGGCTGGGCCTGACCCCTTTGCTGCACTGCCCACAGAGAGAGTACAGGCAAGCAAGAGGTGGCTTGCAGGATTGGTGCCTATTCCTGGGCAATTGGTCCCACAAGAGTGCAGCTGGATCAGGCAATGGGTCCACTCCATCCATTCAAAGCATATCCAATGCACCTTCGAAGGACGTGGATTCCATCAAAGAATCCTGGGAACTGTAGGTTTGCCCCTTCACAGAGCTACAGTCTCATCATTCTTTGGAGGAAGTCATGTGCTGTTAATGTGCATGGAAAGTGAATTAAATCTGTGATGCCAGTCTGCCTCATTTATCTTTTTCTCCATATGGCACAGTAGGGAGGCACAGGTCCAATCCTGACTACTGTTACCCGCAGAACAAGCAGAATATCTGAGTGAAACGAGCTCTCCTTCCTGGTAAATCTCCTCTTTCCCTTTGGGTGCTGTGGGAGTGGATATGAGGCCTGTGTGGACACCCTAGAGAGAGGACAAGCCAATGGAACACAGCAGGAGCCCTGTCTGAGCACAGTATGGAGAGACTCAGGCCTTACAGCTGATGTACCTCCACAAGTGAAAACCCTACACACTCGCCTGGCTTCCTGGGCATGGGAACAGCAGCTGAGCCTGAGCAGCAGGCCCTGTTGCCATTATTGTGTACATGGCTGGGTTGAAGGCACTTGCCCCACAACACCAAACTCTGCAATTAGCCCTAGCTTCCTTGCTCACCCTGTCTTTTGGTGAGGAAGATGGGTGTTCAAAGTCAGCTTGAGATGCTCTGCTGCCCAAGGCTGGGTAAGTGCCATGCGGCGGTTAGCGCATTGGGCCTCCCCATTTGGTTATGAAGCTCCCTGCTTGACCTGTGGCCAGTTACTTACCTCACATGTTTGTTGTGAGGATACCATATGGGGAGGGAGAACCATGAGCTCCTTGGGAGGAATGGTGGGATATTGATATCATCATCATCATCATCATCATCATCATCACCACACACCTCTGTCCATGGATACAGCCAGGATTTATGTGTGGAGGCAAGGACACTCACATGTCATCATCCTCTGCCTGGCTCTGTCTAGCAGATTTGGAATGAAATGTCTCCACAACAGTTGCTTTAAATTACTTTCTATTGACCCCAAGTGCTCAGAAAAATCTGCCAAAATCTTTCTGCAAGTTCTGCTTTTAGTTAAGTTTTTTTTTTATTTATTTACTTGATTTGCAGGGTGGGGACAGCTACCCCTCGGGCCTCTGACCCCTGAAAAAGTAAATGCATATAGTACCCCAGGCTAGCCAAATCATTTCCCCGTCCCTGAAAGTATTTTATTAATTAATTAAATTGATATACCACCTTTTATCCCACGGAGCAGCAATACAAATGCAAGGATGCCATGATAATAAACTAAGGAAGGCGCACTTCCCTGCCTTCTTCCCGAGACCTCGAATGGGCCGCCTGAGGCCTCCCTCTGCCTAATGAAGAAGGCTGGTCCCGGGAGCTGGCTTCCCTGTCTAGAGTCGTCTCCTTGGATCTCTTTCCTTCCGAATGGGCTCCCTAAAACGGATCCCGGGGTCGACTTGCACAGCAGCCGCCCGCCCCTCGCATCCTGGGGACTCTCTCCTTGGATCTCTTTCCTCTCTCCATCGCCAGTCGAGGCGCAGGAAGCGCGGCCGCCTCTTCTCTCCGAGCGAGCGAGCGAGCGGGCGGGCGAAGGCAAGGCGCGCAGCGCTCGCGATCGGCCGGGGAAACGGGGCTCTCCTCGCCGCTGAACCGCCGCGCTCGGGCGGACGGCGCCGATTGGGCAGGGCGGGGAGGGGCCCGGCGCCGCAGGAGCACCCCCCTCGCCGCTCATTGGCTCTCGCGGCCTCTCGGCAGGCTCCGATTGGCGGGGAGGGAACCCCCTGTGTCGGCGTCCGCCCGAAGGTAAGCCGCTCGCCTAGGCGAAGCAAGTTCTCGAGCGGAGCCCGGGCACATGGTCGAGAAGAGGCGGGCAGGACTTCGCCGCTCCGGCGCCGGCCCGCTTGGATTAAAGGCTTCTGGCTCGGCGGCTGCGAGGCGAGAGAGACGCGCGGGGAAGGAAGCAGCGCGGAATAAGCAGGTAAGGCTGCATCGTCAGAGCAATTGCAGGGAAAGCGGCGGGTTAATTTCCCCCCACCTTCCCCTCCCTCTTCGCATTTTCCTCCTTCGCAAGCCTTTCTCCCGAGTCCCGGGGCAAAGTCAGCTGCCGCTCTGCGGCTAGACGGGCGGGCGAGGGGATTGCATCCCGAAGTTTGCCTCGCCGATCGCGTCGCTCGCTGGCGGCAAAGACGCTGCCTGGGCAAAGAGGCTTCCCCGGGAGAAATGCTCGATTTCGCCGAGCTTGCAAAAGGCACCCGGAGCGGACTTCTGCTGCCTCTTCCCCTCGCCCTCCCACCAGTCGATGCCATAGATAGCAAGATATGATCGCGGGGAACAAACTCCCCATAAGGACCCTTAGAAAGAAAGCGGCTCGAGAATGGCTCAGGAGGTAGATCACGTAGGCAGCTGGGATGAAGCCAGCTACTCTTGCAAAAGGAAGCAAGGGAGGGGGCAAAGCTTCTCATCCCCCCACCCCGTCGCCCCATGCAATTTGCTGGAGAGCTAAACTGCTACCACCTTGCGCTTGTCCTACTGCCTGCTGCTGGTACTGATGCTGTGGACTGGAAGGCTAGTGATGCAGGCAGATCTCCGCGCGCCTCTGCCGTCTCCAGCCTTTGGAAGCCGGGTTGTTTCGCAGTTTTTGCAAAGGTGGAAGTGAGAGCGTGTTTTTAATTAGCATGCACTTAGTGAGGTTCCCTCTGCGGTGTGTGACTGGCTCCTGCTGACCTCCATCGTGTGCATGTGCGTGCGTGTACCCCCGATTCTTTTTTCCTTTTTTTTTTTTTGTAAATTAGATTTGGCTTTTTGCCCTGCTTGCCTAGCTGATCAAACGTCCTGCTGATCGATAAAGTAAAATGGACATTTTGTCTAATGCTCAGGTCTTCCTTTTGTGATGCCAGGTGAGTCCCTGTTGCCTTCAGGATGACTTTTGTTAGGGATGGGTTTAAGGAAAGGGGGGGGGAGAGAGACTGTGCTCGGTGAAGCTTTTTTTATTCCGCAAATGGAATCGCTGATACTTTAATCCTTTTCAGTTGTTGGGAAGAATAGCCCTGTTTGATAGAAAGTGCTTGGAGTCAAAGCAGACTTGAAATGACACTCTTGACTTCATTGTTTCATCTAACAGGACATATTGTCCTTTTTCTCCCCCTCCTTTCTTTTGGAAAATAAAAATATTGTTGGATATAATTATACCTTGCTAGGATGACACAAGCAGCCCACCACCATCAATTACAACCAAAACCCCTCTTGGTAATGATATATAGGCTAATTGTGCTAATTTTGATGGTAGATGAATTTAGGTGTCCTTTCCATTTATGCCTTTTAGTGAAAGTCAGATATGTTCATCTTTTGCAAAAGACAACAACCTAGCTTTTCTCTTGACATTTGGATTCTGGGATTTTGTGTGAGTGCTAATATGTCAGGTAGCCAGATATCCTGACGGGTCAGTGGTAGGAAATGGTATTGAGGGGTCTGGTTGTTTTCTGGCAGTCAGAATATAAATTGCAAAGCTGCAGATACATAAATACCAGCAACGATTGATAATAACTGGCATGGCAATACTCAGGGTGTTTAGCAAAAAATAACTATGGGTTTCTTTAAAAGTATTTCCCTGCTGTGCTGTCATGATTTACCACATTTGGATTCTGGGATTTTGTGTGAGTGCTAATATGTCAGGTAGCCAGATATCCTGACGGGTCAGTGGTAGGAAATGGTATTGAGGGGTCTGTGACGGAAGATGAGCTTTGTCTTCAGTTCAAAACCTCCCAGGTCTAACTTTTAAAGCACCACAAGGTGTGAGTACCTGAGGGAGTACAATGTGTATGGCCTGTGCTGTTCATAAAGAGTAGCAACATTTCAAATAAGTAAATAAAATCAGCTGACAGAAATGGAGCTTAATTGATCAATGTTTTGTTTGGAATTAAAATAAGCTGATCAAGGTTTCCTATGAACAGAAAATACTTGAGATTAGACACAGAAGCAGGACTTGGAGATGGATGAATGATGATCTGAACCAGTAAGGATATTCCTATGCGAATACCAAAAGTTTTCAGGTTTTGCTAGAAGTACACATGGAAGGCTTAAGCTGGTTAAGATAAGGGGGCGAGGGACACAGCACCATCCAGTGTTTAACAGTGATCATCTTTCTGCAAAAACTTTTAAGGTCTTCAGGGTTAATTGGAGGACATTGTACCTTTAAAAAGTGAAAGATTATAACTAATTAAGTACCGCTTATAGGTCAGGGGGATGGTGTTAACAATGACACTCTTTAAGTCTCCCTGTGCTGATAGAACCACAGTGCTCTGCTTTCCTTGTGTGTAAGAGGGTAACTGCAGAGCATCTGTAGAACTGCAATACATCCTAGAGTATGGCCATTTTTGCCTAAGAAGTATGGTCCACATTTTGACGTCTTGTTTTCAATGCCTTAAACCTGCACCCTAGGTCTTTGGTGCATGCATGTGTTTAACCTTTAGAAAAGTCAGCCGCTGGGCTGGGCATATTTGCTATTCCTATAGAAAACCATGTTTATTTCATCCTGAGTCAACATCCTTTGAGTGAATATTTTTTTTTATCCCAAAGTATTCAAAAATGTAAGTAGTTAATGGAAGTTGCTTATTTTCAACTTTTGAGTGATCTGGAGTTGAGAAACTCTTAGCACAGTGTACGATGAAGTAAGAGTCCATTGTCTATCTCACAACCAGATATTGCAGTAACATTTTCTTCTCAACTTTCTTCTTTAGCTGATGAGGTACCATTTGTTCATGTGTGCTTTCTTGCCAGACTTATCTTCTGCTTTCTCCTGACAGTAAGGCATCAGATGAGCCTTGCTGAGAAGGGGTGCATAAAGATAGGTGGTGTGAATGTGGAGCTATAAGCAGCAATACAGGAGTGCCTCCTCTGGGAACATAGTGGCTTTGCAGGGAGGGAGCTGCTACAAAGTAATCCCTTCTGTATATGGAGATGTCTTTATCTTGACAAGGAAATGAAAACAAAGGCAGAGTTGAGTCCTGGATTTGGTTCCTGAACTTCTGCTTTAGCTATATAAATAGCATAGAAAAACAGTCTGTCCTCTCTTTCCCCAAATGGACATTTGGGGGAATTCTTGAAATTTTGTCCTCAATGGAAGACAAATGTAAGCATGATAGAAGAGCTCAAACTTCATGTGTGTGTGTGTTGAGGCAGGCAGGGGAAGCAGCACTTTAGGAGGCTATCATTGGATAAAGTGCTCCAAATGATGGAATGGCTTTTTCTTTTTCACCTTTGAAATGATTTCCCTCTCCACTTATCTTAAGAAAGAAAGAGAATTAGGGGAATTTGACTGGAATAATGTGCTCATTTTAATATCATAGGCTCATTTGAGAAAACCTTAGGAAAATGGGTTGGGTTACTCAACTTCATGTTGTAAAATTCAAACACACATCTTAAAAAGTTGTAAAAACTTCATACACTTTAGTCCTGTTTCTTGAGTATTGTGTAAAGAATCATGATCACTTTTCTTTTTGTATATAGTCCTTACAGAAAACCATGCCATACCCAGAAGTATGCCTTTTCTTTGTTTTGCAAACTTGTCAAGTCCTTTCTTGTGAGTTTGAAGAACTGGGACTTAGTTCAATGTAGCAGGACCATATATTTGGACCAGTGCATGCTCCTTGGATGTAGATACCAGGAAGCATGCCATATATGTTTTCACTCCTTTGTGACTATTTAGCCAAGTTTAATAGTTAATGCAGGGAACCGAATGCATATAATCAAGCCACCTTTAGCTTTAGAGAACTGTCTTCTTAAGGGAACCCTCCTATACTTCTCCCAATAAGACAGCTTCTGTCTTTGAGAACATCTGGGTCAGCAGTTGTAATATGGATCACAATCTAGTTATAATTGTGGTGTATGCTGTAACTACCTAGATTCCGCTCCCTCCACACCTTCTTAGGGTCCATGAAGCAAAGGTGCATTGAACATGCCTGAAAAATTGAACATTTCTCTTTTAAGGTTGGAGAGGGGTGTGCAGTTATGCTTGAAAGCCCACAGGAGGCGGACTTAGATGTTGTACCAAAAGCAATTTGGTTTTCCCTGTGGGTTTGTGAAACAGAATGACAAATTGTAAATGCTGTAGCTATAGCCGATCAGCTATCATGGGGCAGACCTGCTGCTTCCACAAGTATTCAAGGGGTCATAGTTCAGACTCTGGGGGTAGCAGTCAATGGTGGAATTATCACAACACACAGAGCGGTAGTTGATTGAAAGACTGAGGAGTAGTGTGAAGATGAAGGGATAGATCTTGCACCGTTGACCTAGATGGGGTATAATTTTCCAGTTGCCATTGTCTGCGCTCCATATCGGGGTTGTTTCCAAGGAAAGTAAGAATCAGGGTTAACAACTGGGCGGTGTGATAATGCTGAGAAGCCAAAGCCATTAAGAAAATGGGAAATAGATGTGAAAGAAGCATTGAGGGCATTAAAAGGCTGCACATGACCTTGCAATGGAGAACTCTTGCCCTGTGGATGACATGGATAAGATATGGAAAGTTCTTAGAGCAAGCTGCCTTTCTATGGGTCTGTAAGTTATAACAGGAATACATTGGTGGTCGTGTCGCGTGGAGGTCAGGAATAGAGGAGAAAAATACTGATTGGGCAAAGCCTCCTGCAGAAGATCAGTCTTCCCCCAAAATGGCAGATCGAGAGTTGGGGTGAAGCTTTGGGCTTTGGGATGTAAATGGAAAGGATGGATTTGTGCCTAAAGGTCAGGTAAGGGAAGGAAAAGAACATGCCACTTCCCAAAAGTTTAATTGCTATATAAATACTGCCCATGTTAATAAACACTGTTAAGCTCACTCATTCATGACATCTCAGCTAACTGGATTAGAATTGCAATTATTGCTATCATGGTGCTGATCATATTTGTAGTCAAATATAATAATTAGTATTTTTAGAGGTGAGGAAAATCTTATGCATCCTGTCTAAATCTGTGGCCGCATGCTATAGTTAACTGTTTATAATGACTGCTCATATATGCACACTGTGAAGCACAGCTCAGTGCTAAAGGCAGTTTATTGGAAGTAAGTCTTTGTAACTTTCATGTAACTGTGTTTGCAGTCACGGTATATGGGCATTGTGTTCCATATATTACTGTTGGAACCTTAAAAATCAGTTTACTTGGAAATAGGTTTCATAGAGTCAGTGAGGCTTATTTCCAAGCAAATGGAACAGTTTTATAGGCTAGTGAACTAAATATGTGTGTTAAAACATATTGGAGTGGATTTTTAGTAGTCATTCATTACTAATATTTTTTTAAAAAACCCTTTCTGTAAAATATACATGATTACAGTATCCTATCCCAATATAAAACCAAGAACCAGAGAATATGCTTCTCTGTGTTTTTGTATAGAGATTATTGAATTAAAATGCTGAGTTCTTTCACAGTACATGGGCTGCAGTGATAAAAAATGAAAATATTTCAAATTAGAGTTAAAAATAGAGTTTTTAATAGAACTTGTGGTTTTTTTAAAGAAAACCCTTTTGAACTGTTTGATCTTCAGTTATAATTAGATGTTTAACATATACGCTAATTGCAACTGCAAATAATTTTTCCTCCAGCTCTTTTTGCCCGTTCATCAATTGTGCATTCCGAAGACATTCAAGGTTGAGACAAGTGCATTTTAAAACGAAATCTTTGAGTCACTTTCTCCTTCACTTAGTACTTTACTCCTTGAAGCAGAGATGACACAAATGACACCTAAATCGTAGGAGGAAGGTGCAGTCTCTTTATTGCTTTCAGTGGTAGTAATATTAGTTGCTGAAGCTGACAAACACAAGCCTTGAATGTATGCCTTGGCAGTTAAAAGGCCTTTCAGTAATATGAAAGCTGTGATGATATTTAACGACTTTGTACAGTAAATGATCCTGAAACGATGCTTATTCCGACACATACATATAGCTCAGTAATGTGTATTTGTGTGTTTATAGCTTTAGTACATACTTCTATATGAAACAGGGGATAAAGTATATTTAATAAATAATTGACTGTTCTGCAAGAATGGAAGGATATTATAAACTCGATATTGCTTTCCCATTTTTTTTTTTTTTAGAAGTTTACTACACCGCAGTGTTAAACAGACTGGAAAGGCAAAGAAATAAAAGTAAAGAATTTGTGCAGATAAAATAACAGCCATTAAGACGAAAGCAAGTAAACTATCCAGTTGGAAAAATGTGTTGCCACTTAACTGAACAAAAATAATTAGAACAATGAAACATCCTGCTCAACCCATTTGAAAATGGGTAAATAATGAGGGCTTCCTGCAAACGATGCCAGTGTTTTGTAGGCCAGGGTTAGTCACTTGTTTACTTTCTTCAGGTATTCCCCCAAAAAGTCACTCCCTGTGGATCTGACACCAGAACTGCATAGATGCCCCCTTCCCAAGACTGTATCTGGCTCACGGTTCTGGTGGTTTTGTATAACTCTTCTTTCAGATATTTAGCATTGTGCTAAGGGGAGTTATTGATGACCTCTGTTACCATGAAAAGGTCTGCAAGGTTTCTTACTATGCCACGGTGATAGTATATATGTAATGTGTACACACCATATATTTAAAGCACGTCTAAAACACATGACTCCCCCTCCCCCGGATCCTGGAACCAGCACCCTTAAACTACAGTCAATGTTCAAAATTAGCCAGTCACCAGACGCATTTTGCAAATGACACGGGTCCAATTGCAACCATGTGGAGATCTCTTGACAACTGGGGAAAACAAAGTGTCACTTAGAGAAGGACCTGAAATATTTTCATTGAAACTTGAATTTGTTTTATTCCAGATTGTTTTATTTGATGTTTTCATGTGTTGTAAACCACTTTGAGATTCATTCTTTAAAGCATAAAGCACTGTAGAAATGAAAATAATAACAGCAGCAGCAGCAGCAGCAGCAGCAACAATAAAGTGCACTGCAAAACAACAAACAAAAACAGCACTCAGACATTTCATGGTGGCGACCGTAACCCAAGTTTAAGGCGTCATTTAGTGATTAGATTGTATATGAATTTCTAACACTGACTAGAGTTTCCAGGACTCTTTGAGGGTTTCAATATGTGGTTTAAATATATAGTGTTTATGCAGCCATGATAATAAACACAGGGCTGCCAGCCAAAACGTTGCAATATTTGTCCCCATGTCCTTTGCAATATATAGTTCAATTCACATCACAGCCTGATTTCTTTACACTGCATGTTCCCTGCCAGCCGCTGCCAATAAAGTGAAGCGGTGCTAATGCTTAGCAAAATTATGTCAGGATATGATGTAACTGGAAAACACATGCCATGGAGGGGAAGCAACGACACGAGACTGCCATTTCCTTCAGCAGCCCTTTGTTTCTGATAGCTCTACACTGGTGGCTGTGGGTAAGCTCTTGACTGTTTGCTGCTTATGGCTGTGCCTTTGGATTATAGTGGCTCTCCACATGGCAATTTTCACGCTCTTCTTCAGGTTTAGAGGAAAGGATAGCAGCTTTTTTTTTTTTTTTTGGTCACAATAAAGGTTACGGCAATCCTCGAGTATAAATGTTTCCTGGGAGCAAGACATTTCAAAGTGCTTTGAAAAGAGGCCCTAACATATTGCAAATGTTTTACTGACATTTCTTATGAAAATTGAGCTGGTATTTTTATCCCTGTTAAATAACAATCTGTTGCCTCTCTGAAGGAAGCTGACAGTTTATCAATATCAGATGGCTACTACAACTAAGCTGGATCTGTGTGGTTAGAACGGTAATGGAAGGATGCAGAAACAGGCACTGTTCAGCCGTTAAACCATGTCAAGGTTAGGGAAACTGAATCATAGTTTGGTAGGATGTCTGGACAAACCATGGCTTCTATCAGCCAGCAAACCAAACATGATTTGAAATAATTTGCAAAAGCATCTTGAGACCCATCAGGAAATAAGTATCATAAAAACAACAACATGGTTTGTATATTGTGTTTACTATGGTTTGTTATTGTACCTGAATTGACAAACTATAATTGCAACTATAGTTGTGGCTGTTGGGCAAGGTACCTTATAGAAACAGAAGCACTGAGCAAATGGAAAACAAAAGGCGGAAGTCATAAAAGCAGAGAAGCAACTGTAAATCAAAAATCACAATTTTCCTGTATGCTTGGACGCTTAACCATAGCTTAATAACCTTTATTAATGCAGTCCATAGTTTGTTAGGATATCTGAATTGAGTCACCCTCATTCTTGCACTTTTTAAAGACATCTCAGTGTTTACCCATGAATTTAGTTGGAAAGAAACAAAGTGACATCTCTTTTGTGTTGAATTGTGAAGTCTTATTTAAAGCTGTGGTTTAATTAGAAACTCCAGGTTGATTTCATCATTCTGTTTGAAAGATAGACACTGCAAGTGAAAGGCCAGACTATTGGCAATCCATGATAGGCTTAACAACTGCCAACTTGCCTCTCTGTTGCTGAATAATTGCCTGAGGTGTTTAGAAGTGGGGCGGCCTGGGCGGGAGGAGGGATCCAACATGACTCATCATTTGGTGATTGTGAGGTTAGTTGTTTCTCAGCTTCAAGTCGCCAACAATTGCTGCAGTTATCATATCAGTAATATAACTTTTGATATCATTTTCATGTTGATCTCCATAACTGGTATATGTATATGTATAACCATTCACACATTTGTGCTGACTGATTGGCTGATGGCAGTTTAATATTTTGGTGATTCAGTAGAAGCAAAATCTTCCCCCAGCATTTCTTCCTGCCCAACCTGGTATTTTAAGGTTATTGGGATCATTAACCTAATATATTCTCTCTCTCTCTGCCTTACAGAATGAAGCACTGATGTTTTAAGTAGGAAGACTTATAAATTGCTACTGCTTAGTTAGCATACACAGTTGGGTTGTGGTTTATCACACCAGCCTCTTAAGCAGAGACCTTCTGCTACAAGGAAGTACTATAAAAAGGCATTAAATGGATTCTGTAATCAGAAATGCTTTTATTTGTGTTATGGTTCTTGTGTACCTTTTGAAGAGTATTGCAAAGGAGCATCACAGCTGAAAGAACTGAAAGATTGTGAATGCCACCCTGGGCAATTCCATTGCTGGGATGCAAATGCTTCACCTGTTGCTGGGGCCACTGGAGTATCAACAGCCACACCTGCTTCCTGTGTGACTTCCACAGCTAGAGGAGCAGAACTGGTCCCTGCCCCTAAGACATCCAAATGTGCTATAATTAAATCAACAGCACCCTGGTTAGGCTTTTGCTTTTTGATACTTTCTGGGCCTGGTCTGGCCTGCCAACTAGCACTTACTATTTAAGGCAGGGATAGACAACCTGTTGCCCTCTTAACATTGTTGGACTATAGCTCTCATCATCCCTGACGGTTGCTTGATGGGACTGATGGGAATTGGAGTTAAACAGCATCTGGAGAGCATTACTTTGGCTACCTCACTTTGGCTACCCCTGCCAAAAACAAACAAACAAACAAACAAACAAACAAAACCCTACAATATAATCATTCCACTTGAGAGAAGTTCTAAACATTCAACTTGCCATATAGCATAACAATGCTATAAAAAGAAAAAGGAAAAAAGGAAAATAAAGAGATCATTGAAAGGAATACGATACCTGCTTTGAGTTAGGTTTGAGAAGCATATGCAGAGAGAGGGGGCACATTTTATAAGACAAATGGTTGCTTAGGTTACTATGTTCCATCCACCTGAAGCCACCATATTGCATTACAGACTATTTGCATATTACAGACACATCGCAAACATTGCACAAAGGAGGCATGTGTTGGTTGACTAATTGGTACTAAAGTTGATGGAGCTATTCCAAGAAAAAGCAAGTGCTTCATTTCTGTATTATATTTTCATGCCACCCTTTCACTCAGTGGTTCACAGTGTTATATGTATCACCCCCAATCCACCTCCATTTTATTTTATCAACAGTCCAGGGTAGTAATATAGGCTGAGATATAATGACAGTCTCAAGGTTGCCTTGTGCTTTGTATGTTACTTCAACCAAGGTCCAACATTGTACTGTGTTCTTTAAGAATACAGCACAATGGCAACTAACCACATACTTTATTTTAAATCTTAAATATGTTTACTCAGGTGTCAGCTCCAGTCCGCTGAAATAGATTTCCTTGTGATAATGTTTAGGTTTACAGCTCTTGTTGTAAAACAATAGGATTAGCACCCTGATGCTAAATATTAGTGGCAGAGCATCTGCCTGTGACATTGGTATAACATTACTGTAACATTGCAGGAGCAGCATGTGCTTAGAAATAGTTGAGAGGGTGTCACTACCAATGTGTCCAGCCTAGAAAGTATATGTCTCTGGGATGAAATACTCTTTCCTGATGGCAGAGGATTGCAGGCCAAGGAGTCAACTACCCACCCAAAATTACCTTCTTCCAAGTCTCATACTGCAGGTGCTGGTTTTGACCATTAAAGCCCTAAATGGCTTTGGACCAGGATATCTTAGAAACTGTAGATATCCTGCCATATGAACATACCTATCATGTTCGTGCCTCTTCAGAGGCCCTTCTTCACTGCACCTGCAAAGTGTTCGCTAGAACTGCCAAGGGGCAGTAGAGGCCATTCCTAAATTCAGGACATAATCCTGACAGGCTCTCTGCTAGTAAAAAGAAATACTCTCAGTCTTTCTCTTTCTCAAACATAGATACACTTAGCCATTGCTCAATAACAGTAATCAAAGGAAAAAGCACCCAGAATGCCAAAATATTGCATCTCACTTCCTTTTGAGGGGCGAAATGTAAAGTACAAGTTGTAGCAAATGAAAGCTGAAAGAAATGTAATTTACCAAGAAATAATTCTGACAACAGTTCTTTTCTGTTTTTCCTTTATAGGTACCTCTTACACCATTTCTCTTGTGAAGGCTATTCAGTAGTGGAGACCTTTTTTAATCGAACACTCCACAAATTATTATCTCTGGACTCCCAGCTGACATCCTGCTGGAGGCTACAGCTACTAAGCCAACTGGAACTGTGCCCACTCTCTCTTGTCAAGGTTTTTTATTTTTTATTTTCCTCACACAGGGAGAAGAAGAAAAAATGAAGTTTGGCAAGGTGGAGTTCTGCCATTTTTTGCAGATAATAGCGCTTTTCCTCTGTCTTTCTGGGATGAGTCAAACAGAACTCCCTAGATCCAGGTCAAAGCCCTATTTCCAATCTGGGAGATCACGAACCAAACGCAGCTGGGTGTGGAATCAGTTCTTCGTGCTGGAGGAATACATGGGAAATGATCCCCTCTATGTAGGAAAGGTAGGAGATCTGATCAAATGTCCTATGGCAGAGATACTTGTCGGTCAGAAGCCACTAAAACTGTGATCATGAATTATTGTAGAATAAGTTGTGGTAAAGAGACATCTACTTGGAAGTAAGATTCATTTATTTCAGAAGACTTGGGCCTTATGCTACAAATCCCTCAAGTGTGATTCTTGTTTGTTGCTACCTTTCCATTTTCACTCACACTGGTAGACCTGTGTAAAGTCTTCAGCCCCATTGGTACCTCTGGCACTACTTCTTAGTATCCATGACAGTGACACTGAACCTTTTGTGAAATATGCTCGGCCCCTTGGCCAGTGGGATCAGGAAAGCAATTGCAAGGGTTTGTGGGCCTTAATGGAAAATAAATGTGTTTGGCTTGAGCAGAAACTGTCTCAAAAGGTCTTATGTTTCCCAAAGTGCCACTTTCAAAGCCTGACTTGGAAGATAAAATTACATTTGCTTGGTTACCTCTGGGGTTTTATACTAATCTGCCTCTAAGCTTTCTGAAGCCGCCCCTTGGGAGGAATTGAACCATAGTTAAACTGTGGAACTCACTTCCAGATGATGTAGTGATGACCACCAATTTAGATGACTTTAAAGGGGGATGTACAGTGCAATCATATACAGAGGTGTCACTGAATTAATGTTGAATTAAGGATCCCACTCTTAAACAATGTAATATGAAAGAATCAGAGAAGAAAGACATCAGAAGTTAGATTTCTTAGTACATAATATATAGATTCAGTTTTGTAATAAGATAAAGAAATTTCCAAAAATGAGGCTGTTTAGATAATTAAGATTCCCTAAAGCAGGAGGTTACTTATATTAATGGAGGATAGAGTTACTAGACACAATGGCTGTATGATTCCTCCAGGATAAGAAGCAGTACTAGTGGTTAGGGAAGAACAATGAGGCAGACCCTTCTTATGGGCTTCCCGGATGCATCTAGTTAGCTCCTGAGGGAGCCAGGATACTGGACTAAATAGGCAGGCTTCTTCTTATGTTCTTATATTTAGGGAATAACAGATTGTTTAAATGGCTGTTTTACAGCTATTAGATTTTCAAGCATTTGCCTTTTCTTATGGAATTGACCTTTTTGGATAGTACTTTAAGGAACATCACTGGATAAAGTAATAGATGCAAAGACCAGAGTTGCATCCTCATGTCTTTCCCCCATGCTGTGCAATTGAATAACATCATTTAATTTGTTTGCTTTGAACTGAATATTGGTAAGAATTCTTCTGAGGAAATGAGCTTGGTATTTCAGTAGCTTCCAATTAATTGCTTCACATCACATTTGCACAGCACCACTTTCTCCCCGCCCCCATGGATTTGTGATGTTGTCCACAAACCTCTTGCTATTTCTGGGATACTTATTCCATTTCCACAGTTCACACATTACCTGAGGATCCATTTAGTTCTCCCATACCAAACCATAGCATAAGAAAGCTTTCTCCAATGTTCAGCCCTCCAGATGTTGAACCCATCATCCTTGACCATTGGCCATGTTGGCTAGTGCAGGTGGGGGTTGGAGTCCATCAGCATTTGAGGGAGCACCATGTTGGGGAAGGCAAACATAATGCATGAGCTGAGCTCTCCATGAATGCACACACATGACTTCTTGGCAGCCTTAGTTGTGCCTGCAATCACAGTAGCTAAAAAAAAAGGTGGAACTGTGGCAGGTATACTGCATTATGAACCAGCTTTTAGCTTGAGTAGGGAATGAAGCATTTAATTGCTGAGCTCATTTGGCTGATTGCACATACATTGGCAATATTTAGGAAGGGGTAGGTGACTTGGAAGCAGACGAGCTGCAAATGTTTGTTGTTATTGTAGAGCATGCTGGGTGAAAATGGATTACTTTGTGCTTTTTTGTTTTTCAGTGGGGATTGTTTGGCATACAAATAATAGCGAATGGCACTCTCAGATTCTGTGCATGTGTGTCTGAAGCTGAAGGAGAAGGAGAAGGAGAAATATCACAAACTGTTATATTATTTGAGAAATACTGTAATTAAAGTCTGTATGGAAATCCATGTACACAGGCAGGCAGAGCTAAAGATGTGCATGCAACCATATTATGGGAATTTCCATATTTTGTTCGACTGCTTAACCATGCAACCCTAATGTTCTTTAATTTATTTGCTTTGGACAGAATACTGATAAGAATTCTCCTGAAGCAATGAGCTCGGCATTTCAATAGCTCCCAGTTTCCACCAGAATTTCTAAAGTAAAACTAGGAACCTAAAACGGACAGGTTACCTTCTTACCTGCCTCCCTTTGAATCCAAAGTTCCCATATTCAGATCAGTGGCAGGGTAATAAGTCAGTTCACAATGGTGTGATGTGCCCAAGCTGCAAATATCAGATTCACTTCCAGATCTGGATTATATAGCTATCATATGCTTGGGTAGCTCTGTCGGTCATGGGTTTGAGCCCCATGTTGGGCAAAATATTCTGGCATCACAGGAGGTTGGGCTAGAGGAGCCTTGTGGTCCCTTTCAACCCTACAATTCTATTATATAATCTGTCAGTAAATATAAGTCCAGAATGCTGGGCTTGGTCCAAATAGAAAGGCCATTCTTATGTTCAGCACCTTGCTTAGCAAAGTTTTAATAGTGGTGAAGGACGTAGAATAATCTCTGCACATTGATTATGCTTATGCTAACTTCAGCTGCCCAAACTGGTTTTTGGAGTCCAGCAACTGTGAAATCCTATCTTTGCACATAGGGTAGTCCCAGATACCTAGGATTTTGTTAGTTCTCCCTCCTGATCAAAATGTAGTGTTCCATCCAAAGCAGCATCATAATGAAACACATGTGGCAAGCACTGTTTCTCTTTACTTTGGTTTTAAGCATCTTTTCTTCCCAAGGTAATCAGCGCCAGGCAGAGTTCTCATCAAGACAGCAGTTCAGATACTTATTCCCCCCCCCCGCTGCCCCTGCCACACCTTTCACAGCTCTAAAGTGCTTCCAGGCCTCTGACAATACACTGTGCTCTAGGCCATCACTTTCTCTGTAAGCCTTATGGTGTGCCTTTTCCAAAGACTTTGATTGTGATTGAATATACTATCCCTGATTTGCTGTCATATCTCTGTTCTGTAGTCCTTTAGTGACAGACTGACAAAAGACAGTGGGGAAGAAATAGGAGAGATATGGAGATGAAGTTTGGATAGCATGTGTGCGCATGTGTATAGACCCCCTCTCCCCCCAAAAAACTGCAAGTCTCTATTTATTTGATCAAGGGAAATTGATAAAAATAGCATTTAAAATGACTGATCATTATTAAGTGCAACTGATTGTTAAGTGCAAGTGATTAAAATTGCCTATAATGAGATGATTATAGATGAAAACAAACAGCTATTCCCTGGTCTTCTTATTACGAATCTATCTCTCTAACTAGAAGAAATGATTCATCTTTAAAAAAGAAACCCTTTTCCCCATCCCCAGATACACAGAATCTCTATTACTGGTTTGCAGATCACTGACAGGTGCATCCTAACAAGATGTTTCTGATGAGATCGTACAAGGAACCCAGGAAGGAGTTGTGTTGTACAAGATCCCATTGTGGTTATTGTTAGAACACCGCTGACTCCACCAAGTTTTGAAGAAATGCCTATTTAAAAGAATACCATTTATGTGGCCAGATTGAGATATACTTTACGAAGAAGGACTTCGGCTGTCAGTAGCGAATGAAAGTCAGAACCAAAAAAATCACTGGGTGAAATCAGAATTAAAGCACCAGGCCTATTATAATTATTATTATTAGTTACTGGCCCATCACCCTAAGGTCCCAGGGCAGCTTACAGCATTGACACATGATAGTAAAAACAGTTTTAAACAACTTACAATCACCAAAATTAAAGTGGGTCCCTAATACATCCTCAGGTGTCAAAAGCCAGGGTAAAGAGGTGCGTCTTCAGCTTTTGCTGGAAGCTGTATAATGAAGATGCAAGACACATCTCTGTGGGGTGGGAGTCTCACAACTTACAGGCTGCCACAGAAAATGCCCTCTCTTGGGCTGCCACCCCCTGAACCTCAGGGCAGAGGAACTACCAAACGGCCCCGCTGTCAATCTCAGCACCCATGAGGATCAATACAGGAGGTTCTGGTTGTTCAGATATTTGGGGCCTGTATTGCATAGGATCTTAAATACTATTGTGAGCACTAACGTGACATGAACTGGCAACCAGTTGCAGCTGTTTTAAACCAGGTGTTATGTCCAGGGGACATGGGGGGGGGGAATCTGGCTGCTGCATTTTGGAACAGTTGAAGTTTTTGAGTTGTCTTCAAAGGCAACCTCATGTAGAGTACATTGCATTATTCCAAACTGCAAGTTACCATAGCATGGAGTACAGTGGCCATGTCATCTCTGTCTAAAAGAACTGTAGCTGGTGAACCAACCAGAGCTGAAAAAGGCACTGCTAGCCACTGAGGTCACCTGGGCCTCTAGCAACAAAGATGGATGCTGAAGCACCCCCAGATTATGAACCTGCTCTTTCAGCGGGCGTACAACCCCATACAAAACCAATATCCAGTGGACCAATAGCCAGGATTCAGGAACTATTCACCCATAGTTCCTTGCTATTGCCAGGAATCAAAGTCAGTTTATGGGTCATCATCCAGCTCACCACCGAGTCTAGGCATTGGTGCAATGTTTGCATGGTCTCAACTGAATCATATCAGTTGCAGAAAAGTAGAGGAGATTATTGACAACACAAATCTCCTAATAACTGATCTCAATGGCTTCATGTGGGTGTTAAACAGCACTGGGAAGAAGATGGTACCCTGTAGCATCCCTCAGCTAGGGAGCCAAAAGATAATCATCCAATGTTATATTCTGAAACCAACCCCATAGGTAGGATTGGAGCCACTGTAAAACAGAGCTTCCAATACTCACCCTGCTAAGCCTGCTCAGAAGGATACCTTGATGAAGCCACTGAGAGATCAAGTAAAAATAACTGGGTCATACTCCCCCTATTCTTCTGATAAAGAGTCC